ACTGTAAACTAATACATGAGAGATATCTTAGCTGCTGAGTTTGCAGTGATTTGCTATGTAGCAGTCAAAAATTACAATGCATAGTACTTCACCAGTATCTTCAGAAACAAACAAGGATAACCATTTTCCAAAGAATGACTGATGAAATTATGAAATCCTCTAACTTGATAACTCATAAAATTTGTTTCTTCAGCCAGTATGACAGCTATTTCTTTTTACATCTTAAAGATCACAGAATCTTGTAACAGAGCAAATATACAGTGATTTTCATAAGATAGCAGAAATTAAAGCTCAAAAACCTGCTCTGGCTCTGTGACTATCTCATATAAGCACTTTGTCATAATTTTCCATCCATAAACCAAGGAGTTTGGCCTCAAACCAATGTTTGCTTCAAGCCCAGCAGGTAACACTCAGGACATGTACCTCTACAGGCATACAGAAGGAAGACATCATTGTTCCTTGCCTAATCTCCACAAGGAGGAAACACTGAAATATTTAAGTCAGTCATAAACACAACACCCAGAAGGTGGATAACTATGATTATTCACCCCAGGCCCTCCCCCCACCAGCAGGTGCCTGACCCATGTCAAGAGATGGTTCAAAAGTTTCCAGAAGATTTTCTGTCTCTAAGATGATTTTAGAATCACTTCTATGAATGATGTGAAAGGCCGAGGTAAATTTTATTTTATTATGATTTGTTTTATCTTAAGGGAAATATTTAATTCATTAATAAGAAGATATCTGAAGTGGTTTTCTTTATCTTATGAGCTACATCATCTTACATCATGCTTTGTGACAAGAAGGTCTGAACCTCCAAGTCTCTTGGGAGTGTCCCATGGACTCAATCTGGAGTCTGTTTCAACCATTATAATCTAAACAGTTGACACCTGTCACTGGTGCAAAACATTTGAAAAGGCAGGGAAACCAAGCAAATACATAAGTTTGCTTGTCAATGCATAATACATAATAGACACATAATGCAAACACATTTGTAGGATGTATCTACTAAACATCTGTATTTAGACAGAACTGTCTCTGTCTCAGTCTCTCTCTGTTTTGCCCATCTTAATCATACTGATTCTTCTTCAAAAATTTTTTCTCTTAGCATCAGAAGGTAAACGTAAGCCAACTCTGCATTTCAGTATCATGGGAAAGAGAATATGTACAAGCCATGGTATAAAGGAAATGAAACTAGGAAAGATAATGCAATGGTCGACAGATTTACATTTTAATTTCAGCATTAGTTCTGTGGCAGACTGAAACATTAGGGTTGGGGGGGGATGTCAGGAAATAATGCAGGTCTAAGTGTGTGCCTCATTTTATCAGAGGGAAGTAAGTGGTTTCATGACATAGTCATGGCTTTACCCATTTTGACTACTAGATCAAGGCATGAAAATTTTATGCCCATATCCACAGAAATAGCTTTTTTCTGTTGCTTGAATGTACAAATTGTTCTTTTTAGAGATCACCTGGGCAGGCTGTCCTACTATGAATGCCTACAAGTGTGCAGGAAAATATAAAGTGGCTGAATTGCTAATCAGAAAATGTTACAGTTGAAAGTCTGCTTGTCATGAATTTGCCTATTAACAAAATAAACACTGACGGCACTGCCACAGTCATGTAGAGACATGGACATGCACAGACGCGCAGGGAGTTTGGCTGCCTGGTGCGTACATTTGCAGTTAACATCACACAAGCTGACGCTCTGCCTTCTTGTTTCATCTCCCTTACTGTGAATGTAAATGTCCTTTGCATGGTCTGTGTAATACCACATTTTTGGTATTTGGGGGTTTAGCCACTTAAAATGGCCCCAGAGTAGTATAAAAGTGTTATTTCATGTTCCTAAACTCACAAAAGCTATGAGGTGCCTTATAAAGAAAGAAAAAGATGTTAAAAAGAGATTTGCTTGGCATGAGTTACAATGTTCAAATTCAATATTAACAAATTAACTATGCATATTAAATAAGACATTTTTAAGTAGAAACACACATGAAACAGAGTTAGATGTTGATTGGCTGGTGGAAATGTGACCAAAAGCTCTTAGGAAACTGACTATGTATTTCTCTTGGATTTACTAATCCAGTATTTGCAGGGACATTGTAAAACATTACTGCTATGAATGATGATAATTGTCTGTATTTCTATATATTGATAAGATGTGACCTCTAGAATATATTGCTAGTAAAAAAGCTAGGAATAGAATAATAGTTATAGCATGCTATTTTTTAACCTAAGAGAGAAGATATAAAAAGAAATAAAGATAAAATAAAAGTTTGCTTGTAGATGTAAGATATGACACATTCAAGCTTATCATAGTGTATTAGCAAGAAGTATTTGTGAAATATAAATTGTGTTTGCTTGCTGTTTTTCATAAGACAAAAGCTTGTACAAGAATTTTTCAGCCCTTAGTAGAGGTAAAGATGCTTATAGCTTATGACTCAGTACATCATTCTCCTAAGAATACATTCTAGAGAAACTCTTACATTTGATCACTCAGAAGCACAAACAAGAGTGTCCCTGATGGTTATGAATGTAATGGTAAAGAACTGAATCCAAATTTACATCAACAACCAAATGGCTAAACAAACTGGAACTCACTCATACAATGGAATACTTTGCAACAGAGCAAATAAATGAATGGTTTCAAGTTTATACAACTCAGCCACACAATATTGATTAGAAAAAAGGAAAGCTAGAGAAAAATACACACAATATTATTGTGTGTATTTCTTACTGTTTTTCACATTCATTTTATGTAAAGTTTACAGACATGCAAAATAACAATGTATTGGGAATGAATTCAAACATGTGTAATATGAAACTGCCTAAAATGGGAAAGAAATGATAAACTCAAATTTAGGATATTGATTGCCTCTGTGGGAGAAATAAAGGAGGTGGAACTAGGGAAGACAATACAATGGTCAGAAGTAATGATTTTTTTCTTAAACTGAGTGGTGTGTACACTGGCATTCTACATTATGTTCTGTTAAATTTTCACATATGTTTTATAAACCAATAAAAAAAGAAATAGTGTAATTTAATGTTTTTCTTTCCCAGAATTTGATTGTCTCTATAGTTCAAAGTTAAATGTAAAATCATAATTTATATCATAATTTGTGATTTGGAGAGTAAAATGACTATTGTTTGCCAACATTTAACCAAACATGTTGACTTCATAACAACAAATTTTCAGCAACTAGTCTTTTGCATAGCAAATCTTTCAGTTTGTTCAATTATTAGTGGTGTTAATAATAGAACAGAGAATATTATTAACAAGCTTTGTAGAAATATTTTCTTCAATATTCCAAGATCAAGATAGAAACACAGCAAAAGCAAAAAAAAAAATCATAAAATCAGATCTAATCCAATCAAAACCTTAAAGGATTCAAACACTGACGTCTGTAAATCGTTTTCACTGCTCCAGGCCCAGAACCCAGACAATGGTTTTCTTTTCTACCAGAAGAAAAATCAGACCAGACACTCTGGACAATGAATTTCCCCAAGAAGATAATTCCAAGTTCAGAATGAAAGACCTCAGAACTGAAAGAGCTAAAGGGTGATCAGCAACCATTGCTAATGGGGACCCTGGAAATACATCCAGCCCACAAGTTCATGACACAATTTCCAAAGTGGAAGCATTTATGTCTCATACCCAGAAGGAACAGAAAGCACATGGAGAATGTTTTCTGGGGAAGAGAGACATCAGGCAGCTACCAAGAACTGGTAAGTTTTGGAATTTAAGATTCCCCTGTACAGATCTGCAATGATAACCTGATCAAAGTTGTAAGTTAGACCTAGAACTCAGCCTCCCTGATATTCTCTCTTCCTTACAGCAGACAAAGGAGGCAGTACAAGGCAGCTGATCATTTCTGTAAAGTGGAAGTGATGACTCTTACCTTTCAGTGTTACAGAATTAACTGTTTCCTTGTTGTAATCACTAATCTAGCCTCTGTTCTGGAGACAGTGTGATCATTCTAACATATAACTGCTGGGGCTGGGAATATAGCTCAGCAGTACAGTGCCTGTCTAGCAAGTGCAAGGTCCTGAATTTGATCCTCAATATCAATCAATCAATCAATCAATCAATCAATAACAACTGCCTCTTCCTCATTTCAAAACTCAGGTATTGGTTCCCATGACTCATGGCTCATGATAAACAATCAAACCTTTTAACACAACTTTTATGAGGCTTTTGGTGATATGGACTCCTGTTTCCCTCTCCAGCCTCATCTCCTGCAGCCCTTTGGGCACACTGAGCTGCCCCAGGTCCCCAACTCCCTTGCCTTAAGCTTTGGCTGAAACACACTCTTCCTCATGCTTCTTTGTCAAAAACTCCTGCTATCTTCTGAGATTAGCTTAGCGATCTAAAATGGGAAACTTTATTACATGTATTTTATTATGCATACATATTTTATAATATCTAGATATCTAGATATCTATTAGCTATACATATGAGTATGTATTATGTATATGTAGATACATGTATATGAATATGTGTATCTACATATAGACATTTTATTAGCTCATATGAATTCACTGTATACTTGATATTACCTTACAATATCAACTTTAAAACTGTTTTAATATATTCTGCCTATCAGCATACTATACCTATATAGTTTACTTTAAGCAATGACATCAACCAATTTACTGCTTTATGGCAGCAATTTCAAAAAATACAGTTATGATAACATCTGTTGGGAAATAACTATGTGTTGTACACATTGTTATAAGATTTCTTAGCTTAATATAAAGTATACCCAATCATAAAAATGACAGACTAAGGATAATTTTACCACAAATCAGGATAAGTTTTCTAGTTGTCAGTCAACAGCAGGGAAGGCTAGAAACCAGATGACAGAGAAAAGAGGAGAAAGAATTACCAGTCAATTTTAAAGGTTGCCCAGGGGCCTGCGTGATGTCCCTTTGTGCTTCAACCAGCAAACCATCAGTTTTTTAACAGCTGGCTTCTATGACTGTGCACAGAGGATGCCTCTTACCTCAGCATCAAACCGTGGGTCCTGGTAGGCATCACTGACGTTTACAGGAAGGCCTGTCGAAGCAACCAGCTCAGCAATGCTGTTATTTATTAGCCAGTCAGAATATGATGATTTCTCGATGCTCTCTTTGAAACTGTCAGAACACAAGGCAGGCAGTAGGAAAAGAGAAATGTAAGTTTGTTTGAAATAAAATGCTATAAAACTATACTAATAGCAGGATTATCTAGCCTCATTAAGGAGACATTAGTCACAGAACAATAGTGAGGTAATTATCAGTAACGATTTAAAAATGACTTACCTACCATTTTTATAATGTGAAATAATCAAATCCATTAAGAGAATTAATAGATTTCCTATAACCCAGAAAGTAACCTTAGGTTATATTTAGGCCTCAGAGCAGGCAAATACAGTAAAGACAATCAGATAGTGACCAACACTGATCATAGAACACTGACATAGTGGCTGAATAAAATTCCACTGAATTCCCAGCTTGTCCCTTTTAATTAGACAGATTACATGTTTTGGTACCAAGAAAATTGAAATCTAACAATGGGAAAAATAGGACATGGACTGAGAACTTGCAAAAGTTTAAATGTGAAAAAAGAGCACATCTATACTATAACCTTAGTACTTATTTTAGTAATTATTTTTATCTGAATTTTTTTGTTTTTAAAAATACTTTTATTGAGAACCATATAGAAGTGAGACAGTTTCACAACCAACTACTAGCACATTTTCAATAATTAATACATTGCATATTGTTGTCTTAGTGGCCATTGTACAAGATGCAGACCTGATATCCTGTCTCAAACACTATTAGAACAAACCTCTCTATTCACTGAATTAAGAGAATGCAGCTGTATTGTTGTATGTTACGGGTCGGTGCAGAAAGAAACAACAAGAAGACCTGATGAATGTAGTTTCAGAGGTCTCACTGAGATTAGTCTCTCTCCAAGTGAGCCCAGAGCCTCAGAAGCATCTCACATTTATTGAGGGGTAAAGGCAGACTAAGGAATGTGCATAATTACCTAAGTGAATACAGACTACTATCTCTGTTGACTTCCACCATTTGCCTAACACTAGGTTCATACAAATGCTAGACAATAACATCCTAAGCAAGGGATCAAAGGACAGGGCGCCTGCAGGAGAAGCTGTTATCTGCAGCCTTGAATCCCAGCTTTCCGGGAATTTGCAAACAGACAGCAACTCTCCTGGGCTCTGTCTATTGTTCCCTGCTCTCTTGGGACATTAGGCTTTTGTCTCAAATCTATATTTCCACACAGTATATCTATCCTAACTATTTTTTTTTTTTTAAAAACAATTATTTATTTATTTAGTGTGTGTGTGTGTGTGTGGCCAG